GGGAGGTCATTAGTATCGACTTAATGGGTGAGTACCCCTTGATGTTCTATCAAGGGGAAAAACGAACCTGTTAGTAGCAACTGACTGTTTCAGTCGCTGGACTGAAGGGTACCCGATAGGCGCAGCGACTACAAAGACGATTGTAGACACGCTCGAACGCGAATTTTTCTCACGTTTTGGGTACCCCCGCGTATTGCTTTGCGACAACGGACGGAATCTGGTTTCTAACGAAATGATTAACGCGATAAATAGATGGGGGGCGGAAGCCTGGACCACACCTATTTATCATCCGCGATCAAATCCGGTAGAACGGAAAAATCAGGAGCTAAAAAAAAGTTTCTGCGCCCTATTAGTGGAGGTAAATTACGGGCCGTCGTCGATGTATAGTAGTGCTAATGGGATGTTTTAATTTTCAGCATGTCAGGTCAAAGAAGTCGCGGGCGTGACGAGCTGGTACGCGATCTCCTCCGCCGATTGGCGGAGGCGCTCGACGTCCCGCTGGATCACCCCCCGGCTATCCGAGCGTCGGTCGAGGCGGCCCGGGACGCTCCGCTTCACCAGATACTGAGGGATCCAATAGCCAACGCTTTCTACAACCGTGGAGTGAGGGACGGGCGTGCGGCTACTCTCCGTGAGATCCGGAGGGCCCTTGCCACCGTGCCAGTGGTCCCTCGACCGGTGCCGTGAGAGGGGACGACCTCTACCGCGCCGTGACCAGCGGTCACCCATACAACGCCTCAACAGGCAGCGGACCGCCACAAACCGAGCACCTGCTCCCTACGCCCAGGGCAGGGAAACCGACGTGGCGAGCATGTCCTCCGGGGAGGGCTCGGCCACTCGGCCGCCGTCGGCACATCCAAACTATAAGAAGCTCACTCCCTCTGATGCTCCTTCTACTCCTCCTCCTGATTACCATCCTGAAACCCCTCGTCCCGAGTAATCGGGCGAGGAGTTTCCTTCGGTCCTGACGTCATCCGTAGGTTACGGATGACCGGATCGAATAGTCCGTTCCCTCTTGCCAACGAGACTGAAGGTTTCAGTCTAATACGGTAAGTCTTGAACGCAATATCAATGACCACACACACAGGAACATGATGGTAAGTCATGTGTATGATGCGACAATTTATTTCCAAACATCGGCCGGGTCAAGAAATTGACTGACGGCTTGGTGGGGGGGGGAGTTAACACGGCACCGCCCGTCGCTCTAAGCTGGCACTCACCCGTGTCTCTCACGATATCAGCCGTCCAGCTAACAATATGACAATCGGTTGTCTCCCCGCCCTTGACATCGAAATAAGGCCGCCGCCGAGTATGGATTACGGATATTGCGTTCGGATGCGTTTCGGACGGATACTTTAACTGTTCGTTTTTACTGTGTTATTTACTTATTTTTAGTGCGAACGTGCCATATTGGATTACGTGTTAACTCATTGATATTTTTGTTTTGGGTGAATCGTCACCAATTGTAATTAAAATTGTACAGCCCTGTATATATATATATAGACATATATATAAACGTCGTCCGCTGAGACGAAAATTCGTGCGATCGTACCACACTGGTCTACGTGTTACTTTATAATGCTATAACTTATTGAAAAGTGTATGGATTAACGCAATTTTTTTATGAGAAATAATATTTTTTAATAATCCCTATTTCATTCGACATACTTTATCTTAATCAGGATATTAATAAGGAACTAGCAGATTATGTAGCTTTTGGAATAATTCACCAATTTTTTAAAATTAAACACTATCTAAAGATTTGCATCGAAGCGTTTTATTTTGATAGGGATTTTAATCACTGTCAGATATCATTATACTTGATCCAACTATGCCACGTCACCACTGTGCTGGGTTTTTTTTACTGTAATTATTCATTTGTAACTATGTTTTTTTATCATTATTTTAATGTTAAGATCGTGTACTTGTCAAATTGTCTCAAAGAAAAAAAAAATTATTAATTATTTTGGTTGTTGCTATCAACGTAATTTTTCTTTTATGTAATGTATATATTTTTTTATTTTTGTGTGTAATAAAACTTTGTGTGAGGTCATGCAATAAGGCAGAATTTCCCGAGTGTTAAACATATGTGATAATTTATTTATTTAGTCAGATTAGTTTATATTAGTTATTGTAAAATCATATTATATTAGTTGTTATTCTGCGACGCTCCCTGCGTGAGGTCGTTGAACGGTGGTTTGGTGTAAAAATGTATATACTTGTTAATGAATTTCGTGCGTACTATTTGTTTTTAATAAATTGCAATTATCGACTTCGAGTGGAATTTAACAATATTTTTAATTTTAAATTCATACAACTTGATTTTTAATATTAAAATATTTATTTAATAACATTAATTTAATACTAATACATTAAAGAAGTTTCATTCGTAAAATGCAATGGATTTGTAAAAGAGGGGATTAAATGGGGATACTTATAGGCTATTTTTTTTTACAAATTCTTCCAACAGCAATTCCAAATTATATATATTTCCATATAAAAAATTTTTTAAGTATATTTTTGTCAACATAAGAGATAGGCAATAGCGAAATATTCAAAACAAGTTTTACTTTATATGTAATATAGATTACATTTATGAAACATGAAAATTAGTGACACCCTAACTGAAACAAAAATATTTCATGTTTATCTGAAATTGTATAGTATACTAAAAATGCAATTTTATAAGTAACTCACTGGATTGTTAAATAAATAGGTAATATTTAATAGAAAAACAGTAAACAGTAAACATTAGAAATTAATATTCTTTCAGTCTATATTTTTTTTAAATATAACTTTCAAAAATATTTTTTATATCCAAAGACAAATTATTAAAAACTAAATAAACATAAAAAAAAATAACATTAAATGCATAAAAAATAAAAATTATATATATATATGTAATAATAATAAAAAATGACAAAGATTATTGCGTTTATATTGAGTGATACAATTAAAATCATAAGTATATTTACCAGCAATTATAAACTTTTAAAATAAAAAGGATAACAAACATAATATTAATTTCATAGAGTTATTTTGGTCCCACTAAAAATTAATAGAAACTAATCCAAAAGTATTATTGTTAATACAGTAAATAATTGTTTAAAACTCTAATTGCACTCATATTTTAAATATACAACTATCTATAACATATAATGTGTATAATAAAATCATTAAATTTTTAACTAATTTTAATAATAACACTTTGGATTAAAAAAGGAATATTAATATTTAACAATAGTATAACAATAGTAGGTTTCTTTGGTAAATTATAAAAATTTGTTTCTAACAATGTAATATAATAAAAAGGTAAAAATTACTAATAATGTAATTCCATATTAATTATTTTCTTTTTGTAATAAAAAAAATTTATAAGTCTAGAACAGTATTTATAAACATAATAATAAAATCTGAATAAAATATTTTATTAAATAATATTATAGAATTAAATTTAAATAATATTGAAAAAATATCATCCATTGGTCTGCATAAACAAATAAATTTGTACATAACTAATTATAATTGATATAATCATTGAAAGTAATTGAAATTAATGATTTTTTTATATATATTATAACACCTAAATTCATTTAACCTTATTTTAATTCTGATTATTGAGCATTACAATAAACAATGGTTTTAAATATTGTACATATTATGAAGTTAACTTTTATCTGTACATGTATAACAATCAAAATGGTTATTAAGTTTAAAATTGGAGTTAGTGCTAAAAATACACGTTAATAAACTTATTGAGCATAACATATGAATATACATTTTCATAGATAAATATTAGAAAAAAAATAAGAGTTAAAATTTTCTTTAGAATATAATTATAAATATTTATTGCTAAACAGTACAAATTTAGTTGGCTGTGGTAGCATTTGTATAATTAGTTCAAAAATATTAGACATAGAACACATTAATGTAAATCACAGTTATAAAAAAAGTAAAATTAAAACTATAGTTTTAATATAAAGTTATTTATATAAGTACTAAATTTTAATTTTTTTTCTTTTTTTTTTTTTTTTTTGGNTTTAATATAAAGTTATTTATATAAGTACTAAATTTTAATTTTTTTTCTTTTTTTTTTTGCGTACTTTTGGCGCTACTTTAATAATTCTTTCACAAAATATTTAATGGTTTGAAATATGTTAAAAATATTTTGAAGTTTCAAGGAAATTTTTAGAAAGTTTTCTAATTTAATATAATTAAAACAGGACTAAAAATAAAAATTTATTTTGCTTTTTGAAAACTATTGCCATATCTAGTAAGTTAGTTGATTTACATAGAAATTTTAAGGTTAACAATTGTAGAAATCAAAAGTATGATAAATCGCTTTTATAATTTTAATCAAACCTAAAATTTGACTATACAAAATTTAAAAACCAAATTTCACCAATATAATTTTTTTGGTTATTATACTTTTATAGTCATATTTTAAGTTCAATTAATGTTTTAAAGGCAGTTCATAATATAGTTGGATTCTGTAATCATTTTTTCAACATTTACTAAAAAAAGCATTTGATATAGAAGAACTAATTTACTAAATATAAGAAAAATTGCATCGAATTAAACAAATATAATTTTTGATTAATTAGTAAACAAATATGTTTATATTGAGTATTGATTAATTAAAGGTATACATTTAATTTAATTTGTTAACTGCAGAAATACCTTTGTGTATTTTTATTATTGGTACTTTACATTTTTAATGCTTGATTAATTTTATTTATATTTAAGATACTTGGAATATATTTCAAAAAAGTATTAAACATATTTTATCTGTAAAACATCAAAGAGTTTATTTGATTCTTATAAATATATTGATGATAAGATTTAAAGTATTCTTAAATAAAAAGGACCCTGATATATTTAATACTTAAACTATTAAAAAAAAACAAACAAACAATTGAATTAAAAATTATTTCTGTTTATACTACAAGTTAAAAAATATATAAACCAATATATATATATTCAATGCAACTGTTCTTAAATTACAGAATTTTATAAGGCACTGATTAAAAAGTAAGTTTATAAAATCATTTATGATTGTCACTTTAATTTGTAAATGTTCTACACCACAATATTAATGTTAAATTTAAATCATATAAATAAATTATTTGGTTATCAGAGTACAAAAAATTAATTTAAATGGAAAATGTAAATATTTAGCTATATTGTGATGTTTGTTGATATAACATAAAAAATGGCTACCACACCATTATAACATCTAATAGGTCTTAACCCTGTATAAGTATCTAAAAAAAAATTACATAGATGTAATATGTCTTATAATCTCATTATATGGTTGTTATTATTTTCTAAAAATTAAGGAAAAGAAATAGTATATATCAAACTTTTAGACAGAAAAAAAAAAGGGTTTACTGTAGTATAAAATTTATATAACAGTATTTTTTTTATTTAATAAAAAATAACTAATCACTGTCTAGGGCCATAATTCGTAAAAATATAATATTATGTGTTATAAATATAAAATTGACAAATATGAAATATGTTTATGAAAAAAAATCTTAAAATTTTTCATAGATTGTTATAAAATAAATTATGGGGGAACTATTTTAGAATTTTTTTAAAGAAGATTAGACTCTTCAGCCTTTCTAATTGTGCTTATGCCACTTAATCCTTAAATTAAATTAAATAGGTACAATATTGTTACCAAAGCATAAATCAAATATTCTAGCTCTACTTCCATTCAAGAATTTTTTTATCATTATGTTATTTATGTGGCAGTGCAAAGAAAAATCATACAAGAATAATTAAAAGTTTTTAACAATAATATACATATTATAATATAACAATAACAAAATTATGGTTTAAAATTTAGTATTACTAATAAATAATTATAGTAAAGAAATCAATTTTATATATTAGCTACATGGTAATATTTTTAACTTGGATTGAAAAAAAAAGGTAAAAAGGTTTTCATTCCTCTATTGTTTCTTCATTTTCAAGCACATTTTTGAACCAAAAAGGTTGGAATGCATACCCATTTCCTACATAAAACTTGCTCATAAATTCCACCCTATAAGTCAAATTTAATTTAATTAAAATATACAAACACAATAAACTATTTTATTTTTATGACAGTTAAAAAAAAGTTTTAATCCACCAGTAGGTTAAGTAAAAAATTATTAAAATATTGAAATAAATAAATAAGATATCTAATACAAGTAGTATATAAGTCTAGAAAATAATGATTAACATATAAAATTAACATCAATATATTAAAGTAACCAAAGAGAATAAATACATTTTTGTAATTTTTTTTTTAATATTCAAACAATAATTATATATACATTTGATATAATAACTTTTACCATAACCGATAATTTTAAAACAAAATTTCAGAAAATAATAATCATTAATTACTTGTGGATAATTTTACTTGAAAAATAAATATACATTAATAATTTTGATGATATAAAGTATAGTATTGAACAAATCATACAATTTTTTATTAATTTTTAAAAATAAAAGGATTGATAGCGATCAAAAATCAATTGAGCATTACAGTTAGCATAAATGTTTTGAGAAAACATTCTGTGGATATTCTATCTTTTCTTTCAATAATAAATATTGATGATAAATAAATGAACATACCAGTGCAAACGAAGAGTATGTAAAAAAGCTGAGAGACCCTCCATCATAACAAGTATAGCAAGAGTAAAGAGTGACCACACACCAAAAAATACATACAGTTTAATAGCACCCCAATGTGTTTCACTATCCAGACCTAATCGTAATACCATACTCCAAAGTACTTCAGATAGTTCTGTAAATTAATGTAATTAAAGAATTATTTGGAGATTAATCAAATCAGTTTAACTTACGTGCATGTGCCAAAGACAAGGCCCACAGTCTTAAGTAAGAAGCTGTATGTGAAACCGTGCTAAGAACATATTCTATAGTTTCAATGGATTGATGAATAAATAATTCAGAGGCAGGTTCCTCTTCTTCATGATTTGCTGGACTACTAATCATGTTACTCACTTCAGTTTCTTTTAATTCAATACTACCATTTATGTCCCTAGAGCTTTCAGACTGAAAGTATGAGATTTTTTATATATTTATAAAAACACATTATTAAATATATATATAGGTTTGGTTTAATATATATATATATCTGATTAAATACCTCACAATTTTTACTACGCCTTTCATATAAAATAATGTATAAAGGTTTGCCTAATAACATCACTGGAATACATAACAAAGCAATAACAACAAAACATTTTTGCAATCTCTCCTGTTTATTATAAAAAAAAAAAAATATACGTAACAATAAATTTGGATAATTATTGAAAAAATCATTACTTGTCCTTCAAACATGTATTCATCACACCCTTCGAATGGTGTAGTATGTTTAAACAACATCATATTTATAAACATTATAAGAACTGATGGTGCACACCCAGGGCCAGTTTTTTGAGCTGTAAAAAATAAATTTACAATATATTAAAATTCTTGAACTTAAAATTTGGGATTTCATCATGATTTATTCATTTTTAAGCTTTGAAGCAAGTAAATATTTTGTTTATACTTTTACCCTTTTTTAAGGTAAAGATTGTTATGAGATATTTCTGTACACCAGAGTAAACTATCAAAAGTTAAGATTATAATTGAATAAACATTTCAAAAATAGTCTTGCTGAATTATCAAAAAAATATGATTTGTGATAGTACATTTCTGATAACCAAATTTATCAAAATAAATGAAAAATTATCTAAAAACAATTTTTTTATACTAAATAAAATATTTCATAAAATATCAACAATGATCTATGAACACAGTTTTCTTTATCTAAATCTACATACACATTTTTTATTTTCACTACCTTTAGTCAAAGTTAAGCTATTGGAAATAGAAAACAAAATGTTTAAAAATTAATCTTTTAAAAGAAAACCTTTTGAATGATGAGAAAAATAATTAATATATTTGCTATTTTTATAATAAATATTAATATTAATTTATTAAATATTAATTAATAGTAATATTAATTTAAACACAAAGTTCAAACTAGTTCGAAAATTAAAACAGTTTACAATATTACTAAAAAAAAAAATACATATACAGAGTGGGATAGATCTAACTGACAACTTTATAACTTATGAACTACATAAAATGTCATTTATGTTTTTAAGCCATTTTTTAGAATGTAGAAATATACATAATATATGTTTTATACTATTTTTTGCAATTACAAAAAATATTTAAAAAATTAATTTTTTTCAAGATTTGGAAATAGTTATTTTATAGAAATGTTTTAAAGAAAAATTTTAATACCAAAAACTCTTATTTTAATTTAGTTGTTACGTTTCTATAACATGTTGATGTTTCATAAATTTTTAATTTTTTTAAGATTTTTTTTATGGTATCAAATGTTAGTCAAAATTATTTAAATGATGAAAGTAAACATTATCTTATTACATTATTTACTAACAATAGTATGCAATTATTTTTCTACAAAAAATAGTAACATTTTGACAAACTTTTCAAGGACATGATTATTACAAATCTTTATGACAAAATGTTAAAACTATTTTCGTATATTAAAATTTTTATAATAAAGATTTGAGACAAGAAGTTTGAAAAATAATATTATACAATTTTATGTAGATCATAATTATATGAGTTGTTAGTTAGATATGTTCCACTATGTATAGACATAAATATATCTATCACTTCAATTGTATACATTGAAGGTTAAGAAATAATAAATAAAAATGTATCAAACAATCTAGAATTATATTTCAATACATTATTGTAAATGTTATAGTTTTTATTAATAAGTAAAATGTTTTGAAAATTGACCCATAATATTTTTGAAATTGATGATTCAGTAATATTATTTGATTGAAGCAAAATTTTACATACGATTTTGAGGACCATACAAAATCCATTTCATGAACATCAGAGATACCATATAAAAAAATAGTAAAACCAAAAACAGCATTTGTGGAATAAATTGTAGTAAAATGTTATGTTTTTTATTGAAGTGCCTGGTAAAAGTAAATAAATTAGTTTAATTAGAAGTTAGTTTAAAAGATTCAGTATGATCTTACACATGGTTGACAACACTTAAAATTACACCAAACATCATGTGAACAACTCCAAATATGATAGACAGTTTCATTTTGTAGGAGTTCAGAAATATAATTTTATTCACAGCGACCTTGAAAATCAAATATTAGGTAAAATAACTAATTGAAACATGAAAAATTATCTTACTTTAAATTATACTGCATTTATGATGTAAAAAACCAAGCACAGTGAGGATGTGCCATAGTTGGACCCAACATAGATTTAATCTGACAGTGATTCATATCACTATTGTCAGGAACGCTTCGATGCAAATCTTTAGATAGTGTTTAATTTTAAAAAATTGGTGAATTATTCCAAAAGCAACACGATCTCCTATTTCTTTAATTATATCCTGATTACAAGTTTTATGATTTATAAGTGTATAAATATTTATTATAGTATGAAATTTATATTTAATAATTTAGTATTGTAATTTTTACGAAGAAATTATAAAGTAGTTATTACTTTTATGGCAAAGTTTATAAAAATTGAAGATCTTTATGCAATAGTCTAACAAATATTTATGTTTGATTATTAGGTTACATGTGAATAATCAATAAATATATTTTAATTATTAATAAATTGATGAAGTACTCCTTTCTATATGAATTTTTAAATTTTGAATCCCCCTGTATAAAAGGTAATGGTCTGATTTAAAAAAAATGTACGTCCCAAAAAAAAGAAGTACATAAAAAGTTATTATTATAAAAAAAATGTATAGATACATACATTTTTCAAAAAGTTATAGCATATAAAGTAAAAAATATAAAAAAGAATTTCTTTACAAAAATCTTATTTTTTTATTAACTTGATGTTAGATTTCATAATAAAAACAAAATTAAGTTCGAAATTTTTTTTTTCATATTAAAGTATACTACATAAGCTTTAATTTAAGACATATATAAGTGTCAATATTTCCGTAACACTATCAAATATAAAGTTTTGACAAAACTTTTTCATCGACTTTAAAAGATCAAAAAATAGGTTAAAAATAAGTTGAACATATTAAAAATCAATGTCTATAATAATTAAAGAACAAATTTATTTTTATCGTAATAAATTATTTCAAAAGAAATAATTATCATTGCTATGCAACTTTTGGCGTTTAAATAGATGATACAATTTAAATATTCAGAAATATTTTCCTTATAATTTTATTCTATAGTTTTTAACTAATTAGTTATATCAAAAATTATTGGTGATGGAAAAATTATAATTGCTAATTTGAAATTAGCACGAAATATAATAATAAAAGTATATATTTTACCCTGACAAAATTTTTTTGACCATTTATTCATAATTAATAACAAATTATTATCTAAAAAGTTCTGTGTCAAGCCCTTCAATATTTATACACGTTTGCCATAAAAGTAATTACTACTTTATATTTTTTTATAAATTCTCCGAAAAAATTACATTACTAAATTATTAAATATAAATTTCATACTATGTTGAATTGCTTTAATAGATATTTATTCATAAATTATACCTATAAATCAACTACTAATTAGAAATAATGTTAGAAATAGGAATTAATTTTTCTCTTAAAATAATCAATCATTTTCTAAAAATTAAACATTATCTACAAATTTGCATTAATGCGTTTTTTACGATAGTGATTTTAATCTCTGTCAGATATCATTTATACTGGATCCTACTATACCACTTCACCACTGTGCCCGCGACCTCACTGTGCTGGGTTTTTCAAAAATGAACAAATCAATATAATTTTTTTTTCATAGATACATGAGGTATTTATGAGGTATCATTTAATATCAAAACATTATTTTTTGTTCACTAAATTTATTTGAAAATTATTTATTTCTATATTATAGGTTAAATAATATAGTAATAAAAGAAAACAATTTACCCCAACTTAACCCCCCTTTAACAAAAAAAAAAGTAAATAGAGGACTGGGGGAACTAAGGTCAGTAATACCAGTTACCTTGTTATCTAATAAACCCAGGCATTTAAAATTATGTTGACCATACGTATAGATTAAGAACGACCTATTTTTGACTCTGATGGAAATTCTTTGTAGACCATTTATTCATAATTAACCACAAATTACCATTTGAAAAGTTTTGTAAATAGTAACAACTACTTTATATATTTTTTTTTATAATTTTTCCGTAAAATTACAATACTAAATTATTAATAATCTATGTCATAATATATTTAATTGCTATAATTAATATTTACTCGTATATTATACTAATATATTAAGAATATACTATTCTTAAAATTAAACACTATTTACAGATTTGCATCAAAGTATTTTACATGATGGTGATCTTAATCACTGTCAGGTATTATCTGTTGTGATCGGGTTGGTACAGTAGACAAAATGAAGAGATAATGCGTTTGAATTTTAGTTGCTATTTATTATATTTAAATATATATATACACTTATAATTGACTTTACGACTTTAAAGAGTTAATACTTAATTACATAAAAAGATTCAGTGAGAAAATTAACAAAAGATTCAGTGGAGAGTCGTCCAAGTTTGACCCTATGAACTATATGACTCTTGAACGAGTAGCTGACTACCACTGGCGCGTGGCCTTAGTCGGTGGCGGCCGTAGGCCCAATACATTGAAAAGGGCTAAGCAAGCATCGAATGCTCTAGAAGATTTAGATGCTTGCCTGGTTAATACTTTATACACAAGACAAAGGGTCTTCCGTTCCCATGATTAATATATACTATTAGGTTACACGCTTACAATTAGACAGCAAAAAGTTAGTTCATCTTACTTGTCACAACTATGCCACGGTCACATTGTACCGCGACCCCACTGTGCAACCGTTTCTTTTTTGTTTTTTTAAATCTTTGTTTATAGTAAAATATTATATAAATACTTTATTATACAAAAAAAAAATTTTTATGAATACTTCACCTGCCAAACTGGATCAAGTCCCAATGGATAAGGTATTTGAGTAAAATTTGTGGAAGGATTTAATATTAATGACTTATTATTCAAAACAGTTATACTATCTGTATTTATGGTCCAACTAGAACCAAAGATATTCATTGATTTAGAAAAAATGTCATTGTAAATAATCCCTGTGTAGATAGAAAATAATCCCATGAGCAGAATTATGTAGCGACCACCAAAAAATATATTCCATATCTGAAACAAATATATGCCATAGATATTTTTTTAATTTCCTTTAAAAATACTTGAATTCTTGAAAAAATAATTTTCCGAGAATATTGTACAATTATAATTCTTAATCAATACATATTCAGAGGGGTCCAAAAGGGGTAAATATATTTTTATTTTTAAGAATACAAACGTTTAAAAACATTTATGTGTATATTTGTACAAATTCCACTGGATATACGTTAATTCTGTACATAAAACTTGATATATAAGTGTCCACCTTTGTAAACTCTTTAAAACAACACTGATTATTATTTGTTTTTATTTTTTAAATAAAATTTATTAAAAAAAAATATATTAATTTTGTTTAAGTTAGTTTAAGTATTTTAATATTTGACACTTTTTTTATTTAAAAATGTTTACTGTCTAACTATGCCCTTAAAATAAGATTTATTCATAATACAAAGATTAAGTAACCACAAAGTGTAGAATAAAATATCAATATAACCTATAGAACAAAATAGTTAACACCTTTTAAAATCTTAAGTTTCTAAAATAATTATTCTAGATTGAATAAAGTGAGGTTATATATATATAATATCTATAATTAATACCTCATTTGAAGACTTTGTTTTAGACAATTGTTGTTCATACAAGACCATATATGCACCAAATGCACTTAATATAATTCCGTGTCCTGCATCGCCAAACATAATCCCAAATAGAAATGGAAATGTAATAATAGTATATAAGGCTACAAGAAAAAATTCACAAAAATTATTATTCACATTTATATACAGGGTGTAAATCTTTCGAACCATAGTAATATATGAGCGAGTATCCTAGTAAAGTAAAAAATAGGACCTCGTTTTTTTTTTTTTCCAAAATTGGAGGAATTTTAGAATAACCCCCCCAAATTTCTCTAAAATTAAAAATAAATCATACCACAATATTTCCCGCAAAATTCTTATATAAATTGAGTGGTCACTCGATTTTTTGTAACTTTTGCGTCCTCCCCTGAACTTTGGGTTCAAAGTTGGAAAAAAATTTCAAATTAGTGTGATCCATCAATTTGTATTGAAATTTCACTGGGAGTCCTGTGATGTAGTTTATTTTTAGTTTAATCGATTAAATAATAAGAAAGACCGAAAAACCCACAAATAATGTGATATTTTTTTAATTTCACGAGTTTATTTCGTCTTTTATTATTTATTCATACTAATTATAATTTTTATCATTGAAACTGTTATAAAATTATAATTTTTTTTTCTTTTTTGGTCGGGAAAATAAAACAATCATAATATTGAAATGAATATTTTTAACTTTATTACAATAGGTTAATTAGAAATAATTATTTTAATGTAATCGGCACACTACTCTTTTCCAAAATTAATCAATAATGAGAATATGGTACATCACTGAGCTTGTTAATGTTTATTTAAATGTTCGAAAAATACTGTTCACTATTGAATAGTCACTTATTAAGTTGCACATAATATTAGATAACCTTTAAAATATAGCTTCTTTTTTTGTGCAATAAAAATGCATAAATATTACATTATTTGTAGGTTTTTTCGGTTTTTCTTGTTATTTAATCGTTTATACTAAAAATAAACTACATCACAGGACTCCCAGTGAAATTTCAATACAAATTGATGGNCGGTTTTTCTTGTTATTTAATCGTTTATACTAAAAATAAACTACATCACAGGACTCCCTGTAAAATTACAATACAAATTTATGGGTCACACAAATGTGAAATTTTTTCCAACTTTGAACCCAAAGTTCAGGGGAGGGCGCAAAAGTTACAAAAAATTGAGTGACCACTCAATTTGTATGAGAATTTTGCGGGGAATATTGTGGTATGATTTATTTTTAATTTTAGAAAAATTCGGGGGGGGGGGATTTATTCCAAAATTCCTCCAATTTTGGAAAAAAAAACGAGGTCCTATTTTACACTTTACCAGGGTACTCGCCCATACATTACTATGGTTTGAAAGATTTACACCTTGTATACTTCAAAACATGTAATACATGTCCAGAAAAATATTAAAAAAACTTTTAGCATTATAAAAACAGTTTAACATCGAAGAAATTTTAGTCAACTATCGTAAAACAAAACACAAACGGAAGGGGGTATAGAGGTGGGGTGTGTAATGTGTACGAAAATGTTGATGAGTCTGCTGCTTGAGTATTCACACAGCAGTTACCATGTTTGGCTGACACTCCGGATCAGCTGTGGGGGGTGTCGAAAGGCCGTTATTATAGGAAGGGAATAAGGGTAACATCTAGGTATGAGATGTAGACGAAATGCAAGACACAAGTACTTTGATATAATGAGGACGAGAGTAGGTAGATGAAAAAGGAAAAACAAAGACTTGACTTTATGTAGTAAGCCACACAGTAACATCGAATACTGAGACTGATTAATGACACAAAGCACTAAAATTGACCTTTTAGGTTTAAATAGTAATTCGGACGATTGCCAATTTTGCAATAAATATTAATCGTCAATTCATCAGTCTCTAGAAGCGGGGCGCTGTCTGTATTTTATTATAATAATTTTTTACAATAATGGTAACGTGACACTATTACACAACTAAATTATGTATCTAGAAAAAATATTTATTACGATCATTATGTTTTTTCTAAGATGGGAAACTTAGACTTTTAAGTTTTTTTTAAGTTATTTAAAAATTATAGTATAATAATATCGATGTTGCTTTTCTAAAATTGAATAGCATATTTAAATATATTTTTTAATATGTAGAATTTTTTTTACCAGGATTAACTTCTCTGTAACCAGCAATGCCATAAGAATCAACCAAATTTTGGAAGCCCTGAGTGAAACGATTAGTACGATTAAATGTGGGAGGCTTTTCGTTTGTATTGATTATATTCAAAAATGAAGGTATTGAGCTCCCAACAGCTTTCTGAAATTGAATCACACTCACATATTAAAATACAATGAAGAAATAGAAATATTAGTTGTTAACTACAATGAATTTTTTCCCCAAATTTATTTATACTGCCGTGTTATGTGGTTTATCTTGGTTTGATTGCAATGAAAATAAAACCCAGTGCAGTGGAGATGTAACATTGTTGGGTCAAGTATAATGATATCTGACAGTGATTAAAATCACTATCATAAAAAACGCTTCGATGCAAATCTTTAGATTGTGTTTCATTTTAAAAAATTGTTGGATTATTCCAAAAGCTACATGATCAGCCAGTGGCGTATTTTAGGGGGGTGTCCTCTGTCTGGTCACCCCCGACTTAAAAAAAAAAAAGATGCCTAATATATTAGTATTACCTTTTTTTAAAATATACTATAAAATAAATGGCATTTTAAATAAATGACAAAAATGAAGTTAATTTGATAGGGTTCGACGACACGTTACAAGATTTATCTACATCAGGGATATCTATAAATTATTTGGATTTCACTGGGTCATTTAGATAACAAAAATACTCGCAGCCAAAATACAATAACAATGGAAATATTCTGAACTTGTAGCTTATTTTTAAATCTATCTTATAGTTTATCAGTTTAAAGAATTATACATTTGAATAATACTATTATTTGATATTAATTTTTTCGTCGACCGTCGAGCATACAACTATAACGTGCCATAAAGTAGGTACTAAGTATCTACCTATTTATTTAAATAATTAAAATATGAACCAATCATAGGAAATTTTTTACAATTTACGAAAAAATAACGAATCAATGTGTAATAAACTATTATACAATTTTAATTTTATTTAAATAATATTTTTATTTTTATTACATCTTAACTAAGTTATTACGCAATACAAAAATAATAAAATTTAACAAAGCCATTTATAACAGAGTTTATAAAAGTTTATTTTATAATTTTGATCAGTATTATGCTTTAGTTAGCTATTCCAAAAAAGTATTAATACATAAATAATATTTAACGAAACTAGTAATTTTTACTTATATTATAAATTTAGTTTTAAAGTTCAAAAATCGTTAATTTTACTATAATCTTTACAATATAAAAATATAAGTAATAAAGATCTTGAAATATTAAAATAAATCTTAATAGTAATTTAAAAAAAAAATGTTGGTTATCACTAACCACCATTAAGTAATAACCTATAACGTGTCAATTATAATATGTACAAAAGTTTCAAATTTCAAATTACTTGTAAATTCCTAATATAGTAATTTGAAAAATAGTAAGTTTTTTTTACATCAGTAAACATTTCTACAATTTTCGTTTGTGAGGTTCATTAAATGTTGGACACCCCCGAGAAATCATTCAAGATGCGCCACTGTGATCAGCTATTTCCTTATTTGTATCCCGATTAAGATAAAGTATGTCGAATGCAAGAGGGATATAAATATTATTTTTCATAAAAAAAATGTATTGATCTATACACTTTTCAATAAGTTATAGCATTATAAAGATAAAAATGTAAAATATAAAATCGAGAATTTTCACACAAAAATAGCATTTGATAACTATTTTCACCGTGAAGACAAAATAAAGTCCGAAATTTTATTTTTCCATGATAAAGTATATTACATTAGATTTAATATAAGATATATATAAAAGTGTCAGCATTTCCGGAACACTTTCAAAAGTTAATTTTTCGTGAAAAAGTTGTCATTTTAAATCCCCCCCCTGTGGCCAGGTAAATGGTCCGATTTATAAAAAATATATACCAAATGATAGATAAATAATTATATTGATTTGATCATTTTTGAAAAAGTTATGGCAGTTTTAAGTAAAAAAAAAACCCAGCACAGTGGAGTCGCAGCATAGTGGGGACGTTGCATAGTAGGGTCCAGTATAGATTTAATCTGACAGTGATTAAAATCACTATCATAAGAAACGCTTCGATGCAAATCAGTAGATAGTGTTTAATTCTAAGAAATTGGTAGATAATTACAAAAGCTGCATGATCTGCTAGTTCCTTATTAATACCCTGATTAAGATAAAGTATGTCGAATGAAAAAGGGATTATTAAAAAATATTATTTCTCATAAAAAAATTGTGTTGATTCATACACTTTTCAATGAGTTATAGCATTATAAAGTTAAAAATGTAACCAACCCAACCCAACATCAACTCCTATTTCCNGATGATGGATAAAAAAATTACATGCAACATCAACTTCTATTTCCTTAATTATACCCAGATAAGTAATTTATTTAATTATATATTATATAATTTTTATAATTAATTATTTTCAAATTATTATCGATTTTTAATATGTTAAAAGTAATCATTTTGAACCTACTTCTTTTTGTTCTTTAAAGTGAAAGTTTTAATAAAAAAAAAATGAATTTATTACCATAACTTTTAACTCAACTTGCAAGTTTGAAATAAATATTATTAAATAGAAAAAAATGAAATTGGTAGATTATTTCAAAAACAACAATAACACTTATTCCCTTAATTTTACCCCGATTTATAACTATAATATATGAATACATAATAATTACAGTAATTAAATTGAGTATGAAAGTGGTATTCAATAATATAATATTGTAATTTTTACGGAGATATTATAAAAATAAAAAGGAGTTGTATATTCATATACTTTTAATGCGTATACAAATTTAAAGGAATTTATGCAATACTTTTTAATAAAAAAATTTTGTTACTTATGAATAAATACACTAAACAAAAGGAACTTTCATCAGAAAAAAAATATACTTTTCTAAATAAACTTTTCGTGATGTTTTCAAATGTGCAATTAAACTTTTTCTATTACTTCTAAGTTTTAATATTATTACTTATTATTAAAAAATAAGTATTTACATATAAAAAAAAATAATTAAGAACAAAAAAAATTGTATTAAATTAATACTGATTTTGATTTTTAATATGTTAAAGGTAATCATTTTGAACCTATTTTTTATTGTCTTTTAAAGTGAAAGTTTTAATGAAAAATACCTTCTCAGCTTCGCATCGAAGCTAAAAAATGAATTTGTTACCATAACTTATAGTTCAACTTGCAAGTTTGAAATTGACATTATTAAATTGAAAAAAATGAAATTTTTAAGATTAATATGCAATCTGGAAATTTTATAATTACTAATTACAGTACATTTGTCAGAAAAATTCGATTTTTTTACATTTTTATCGTAATAGATAACTGAAATAGAAAGAATAGTAATCATATCCTAATAACTTTTGGTGTTTAAAAAAATTCTGCAATTGAAATATTCAGAACTTAATTAATTTTAATAATTTACTTTAATTAAATGAACCAATCAAACCAAAGTAGTTAAAAAGGTTTACTCAATTGAGCGTATTATAAAATATAATTATAATTGTAAAAATCCATCGTTAAATTCTGGTGAAACTAAAAATCATTTTTTTTTTTAAATTTATGATTTATATAGCAACATATTACAAAAAAATTTAGCATATTATAGACTGGTAGTAGCACACACAAATAGAGTTAAAAAATTAATAAATTATAAAGTAAAATTATTTACTTTTGTAGTTGAATACTTTTATCATATCAAATCTAATTCGACAATAAATACTTTAAGAATATTAAAAATTAATGATTTTAATTGTTTGTATGGAAAAAGCTGGTTAAGCTACTTTTTATTTGAATAAGGAATATTTTTTTGATTTTTAAGAGTAATAACTTAAACTAATCATTAACTTAAATATCATAAACTTAAATGAATNTGAAATTAAATGATTAGTTATCATTAACTTAAATATCATAAACTTAAATAAATCATTTGACGTATCGTTGAAAAAAGTAGGTCTAGTGAGGGTTGGCAAAATAAATCGTAGCCACAAAAAGAACCACATAGTAAAATAATATTAACATGAATATCAATTTCTTCTCACGAGGGGAGACTATAGTGATAAGATCCTTTATATTTATTGAAATTATTGAATCTAAATGAGATAAATATCAAATGATTTGAAAATTCTATTCTAACTCAAAAAAAAAATGCAAAATTTTAGAAGCCACAAACGGATTTGAACCTCGNTCAAAATTTAAGTAACCACAGACGGATTTGAACCTCGTACCCAAGGCGTGAAAGATCAAGGTGTTACCCATTCGGCAACTGTTCGTTGCTTTTTGTTGTATGATAAAATTGGCTATTTAAGCTAACTCAAATTTAAAAATTACTTCTTCGACTTTAAAAAAGTAAAAAAATTTTAATAAGTTTAATTTCATTATGAACTTTATTCTATGTCAATGAAATTATATAATATTCTTGAAAGTCAATATATTCTCCTAATAAGATATTTTTAAATAAAATAAAATACAAAACCTAGAATTTTAATAAAAAATAGCATATTTTTAAATACGGTAGCCTTTTGCGCATAGAAGATAGGTCGTCGGGACAAATTTTTTTTTTTCATTTAGTAGTACATAAAATAAGCTTTAATTTGATATATGTTTAAAGGACGCAGTATTTCCGGAACATTTTCAAAAATTAAGTTGAAAAAGTTAGTTTTTGTAAAAAAGTTGCTATTTTAAATCCCCCCTGTGAGCAGAATAAGTGTTAGATTTTCAAAAAAAAATGATATCAAATGAAAGAAAATTACCTAAGGTTTCAATATAAAGAAATATTATTTTGATTAGTTAATATTTGAAAAAGTTATGGCAGTTTTAAGTACAAAAAACATCGTTATAAAAGGTGATTTTTATCGCAAATATTACATTTTTTTTATAATTTCGACAGCCATTTGCACATAGAAGATAAGGTGTCGGGACAAATTTTTTTTTTTCATTTTATAGTACATAAAAAAAGCTTTAATTTGATATATGTTTAAAGGACGCAGTATTTCCGGAACATTTTCAAAAATTAAGTTGAAAAAGTTAGTTTTTGTAAAATAGTTGCAATTTTAAATCCCCCCCCATGAGCAGGTTAAGTGTTAAATTTTCAAAAAAATTATGTCAAATGAAAGGAAAATATCTAAGGTTTTAGTTTAAAAAAAAATTATGTTGATTTGTTGANCTAAGGTTTTAGATTAAAAAAAAATGATTTTGAATTGTTGATTTTTGAAAAAGTTATGGAAGTTTTAAGAAAAAAAAGTGATAAAAATGACAAAATTTGTCGATTTTTAAATTTGTAATTTTTTTGGATATTTCCCCCATTTGCGGGGAACGAGGGAAAATTATTAAATTTTTAAGGGTAATGTCTTCAACTAGATACAATTTGTGATCTTTTGACGTATTGTTAAAAGAAATCGGTCCAGTGAGAGCTGAGAAAAAGTAGTGACAGACACAAAAAAAAAAAAAAAAAACATATCATGGTAAAATTAATACCTTCTCAGCTTCGCATCGAAGCTAAAATGTTAAAAATGTCGAAAATTGGCGATTTGTAATTTGTAATTTTTTTGTAGATTTCCCCCATTTACGGGGAACGAGGGAAATTTTTTCAATTTTTGAGGATAATGTCTTTGACTAGATAAGATTTGTGATCTTTTGGCTTTACGTTGAAAGAAATTGGTTCGGTGAGAACTGAGAAAAAGTGGTAATAGAAAAAAAAACACATTATAGTAAAATTAATTCCTTCTCAGCTTCGCATCGAAGCTAAAATAGTTTAAACGTAATTAGATAGGTCAATAGCTATTAAAAAAAAATGTCTACAAAATGATAAATCGATCAAAAGTTTTAGTTTTTTCTATTTTCATGACTCGTTCTCTACACTGTCAACTTTGTCACCATTCTCAACTATTACAAAATCAAGCAAAAAAACATTTTGTTAGAGCCCCGCCTTTACAGAATGTTTTACAAATCATATGCTGCTTACCACGGCACCTGTAGAACTCTCAGTATAGTTAGACTTCAATTTTTATACACGTTCGCCATAGAAGTAGCAAAACATACAACTACATTATAATTTTTTATTTTTTTCGTAAAAATTACAATACGAAATTATTATGATAAGTATTTATTCATATACTATATTTATACATCAAATGATTACTAATCAAGATATAATTAAGGAAATAGATGTTAATGTTGCTTTTCAAATAATCTACCAATTTCTTAAAATTAAACACTATTTACAGATTTGCATCAAAGCATTTTTCGTGATAGTTATCTTAATCACTATCAAATATAATCTATAGTTGTCCCCACTATGCTACGACCACACTGTACAGAGATCCCACTGGATTAACTTATTATTTTTTTTTAAATAATAATACTTAGTTGAAACTATGTTTTTAAATTTAGTGTGAGTATTAGTCTATCACCTTTAGTAGTTGCGCCACTGCTTTCTCAGTAATTTAGTTATGAAGAAATTATTGTGACCGATATAACCCCTTGGCTGGTATTTCCCCAGTATTGCTTACTAAAAGTTAAAAAATAAAATGTCCTAACATATAAGACAATTTCTTATATGTGTAATCGATGATGTAAAACAAAAAAAAAATTTTTATGTAAAGAATTATTTGTAATAATAATTTATATTATCATCATAAAAAAACCTACCAATGAAGATAAGATTAAATGCATAAAAACGTTTTATGATAAAAATTTAATTGATGATTATTAATCACTGTCATATATCAATCTTTAATAGTCGTCTTTAAGCTTGGTCCCAACTTCTTCTTTTTTCTCGCCTTAATCCCAACTACTTGGGGTCGGCCACGCTTATCCTAAACTTCTACTTGACACGATTTCCCACATTATCTACACTTACATTAGCCGTCCTCATAACACATTCAATAATATCCCTCCATCTCTTCTGGTCATCCTTTATCTCTTCTTCCTTCAACATTCATTTCTATAACTGTTTTTACAGCTTCCAATTCTTTACTCCTCCTCATAACATGTTCAAACTATTTCAGTCTATTTTGTCTCATCTTATCTATGATTGACAATACACCTATACTCCCTCTTATGTGTTCGTTCCTTATTCTATCTACTCTAGTCACTCCACTCATCTTTCTATGCATTCTTATTCTCAGTTTGATACCGATTGAATTTCATAATAAAAATTGATCTCTTAGATAATATGATTTAAAATTAGAAATATTAATTTAAAACTAAAAAACATTGAAAATATTAAACTTAAAAAGCCATAAAGATACTAAATACTTCCGTAAACTCTTATTTATAAATTTATTTTAGTATAAAAATCTCAGATTTACCCTTTATGACAAATTATGATGCTCACTAAGTGAAATTTTTTATGAACATCATTTACGGGAAATGCAACTGCATCTTTAACTTTCATTATTTTGGATTGGTTTTAGTCTCACTAGAAACAGAAGAAGCCTATTCACAAACAGAAATTTGAACCTGGGGGTGTTTAAGTTCCAAAGATCAAAAAACTTTTTTTTCTTCGCTTGAAATGGTTTTAACTTTTACCTTCTATTAATCTGTTCATAAATAAAACAAGGACATTACATTAATATATTTTTATCTTATTATAGTTGTAATGTTGTAGAATTTGTATTAGTTTGTTTTTCTAAATCTTATCAATTAGTAGTGTGTGCACTAGGTGAAAATTATTTCTTGATAGTTATGTATTTGATAACCTCCACCAGACAACCGGTCCGATACCTTTTATCCTATAGTCATCAGCTGACTGTACACTGTGCACCTGTACCAATATTTTTGTATTCCCCAATGAACGTGTTCAAAGTTGGCACCACCACTACCCAGCGTCATAACCACCGGTCACTACAGATGCCGTGACGACGGGATTTTACTTCTCAGCTTGACTACCAAGGCAACAAGTGTATTTGTCTGCATTTATGTTTTTAATGAAAAAAAAAAAAATACTTTTTTGGTTATTATTATTTTTTTTTCTGCTAATTTTTTTGTTCTCCTTTTTTTTTTTTTATCAAATAAATGTCCAGTGAATTTACTGTCATTCATCATAAACGGAACACTCAGACCATTTTTTTTTATCCTCAGTTTTTTTTTTTTTGTAAAATAAAACGTCGAGATGTCGATGATGATGTGAGACTCAAACTATTGGCAGAAATCAACCAACAACAAGTACAACATGAAACCCCTCTTTTTTCCTCCTTATTAATGTTGTGTATATAGCACCATTTCTTCTTCTTTTTTTTATTCTTTTCTTATGAATATATATTTTAAAATGATACTTATAAATTTTCAATAATTAAAAAAAAAAACGTTATATTATACATGGCCTTTCTCTTTTTATTAATATTTGTTTTTTTTTAAATCAAAACCTAGTAGCTTCGTCAACAAGTACTATCTTGCTTGGCTCGGCTACTAGGTAACTATCCAGCGTTCCCCATGGGCAGTGGGTAAATAGTAGGCCCTCTGGTTTGTCTGAAACTTTACATTGTATTATTTCAACTATAATAATTGTAGTTAAAATACTATATTTAAAAATGATATATAATATAATTTTAATGTGTTTAGTAAAACATTACTATGTTAAAAGAAAAATATACCTACTGCACTAAAGACATTGCTCACTTACAATATTGAAAGACAAAATTAAAAAAAAAACATTAATTATTTAAACAATAATTCAAGGAATTAATTTATTTTCCTTTACAAAATTTTAGTATAATGAAATCTGCTTGGGTATGTTAAGTAATTAAAGCACTCTCTTATTTACGTCTATGTTATTTCAATACCACGGCAGTATAAAATGAAAGTACAAAGGGGGAATTTCTATACTCATGAAAGCAATGATACACTACCTTTTGCATGCAATTATTAAATATACTTACACTGCCTTCCGCCAAAGTTTGTCTGATGAACTGTAAATCTTTGATTGGTATCCAACATTCACCGATTAGACATTTTTTGGTGACATCCATGTTAAAGAGATTAAGAGTATGATAAATGGCTTTCATCTTACGAACCATCACACCCCAATTGTGCAATTCTTTCGCAACAGTGGTTAGAACACGTTGCCTATGATCCCTAGTTTGATTTAGTACCTATCATACATTTATTGTTAAAATACTTACGAAATGCTTCATATTTTCATACATATCATTAATAGTAAAATGAAAAACGAATTTAAATGTTGATTTCATCAATAAATAAATCCTAATCTAATATTCACGAATTGGAAATCATAAGAAGTTATCAAGATTTTTTTAGAAAAAGATGTTTTCTGAATATTTAATGGAGCTTTGTATTTTAGACTTCTAAAATTTATATTCACATAAAGCAGCATTACAAATTTATATTTTTAATTGCTCTCCTGAAAAAATACTAAAAAAGGCAAATAAGTTTTTGGAAAATAACTACAGATATGAATTTATGTTACTAATATAACAATATGAGTAGTGTTAAATCCATGTACACTTCAGGGGGTTGAAGCCTATTCCTGATATTTTAATAGCCCCTGCCAATTTCAGAGTGACGATGATAATATTTCTATTTTATCATAGAAAATCGAAATGACGTTTTGTTTAATATAAAGTTAAAAACCATTCTTTTTCCTTATCAAATTTTTTTTTTTTTTGTAATAATGTTAACGCCGATATAACAGAAAAAAAATTTCTGCTTGCTCTTAAATGCTTGCTTCCCAGAAAAAAAAAGGTATCTTCACCTTATAATTACTAATTTTGTTGGAGGATATGACACCCATAACCCCCAAGTCACTTTAGTGTAATTAAACGATTACTATCTATAAAGGTATCGCCTGAAAAAATATATAACAATATGCAGTTACATAAGTTGAATGATTGAAAATATTAGTTTCAATTAACATTTATGCAGTGTCCAGCACAAGAGCGAGGTTAGCCGGAATAATTCCTTAGGTTGTGCAAAGTGCAAGATCTCATTTTACAAAAATATTTCATGAATCGAATTTTATTTTATCATCTGAATTTTACAATTTCAATACAATTTTATAATGTTTATACGTGACAGAAAAAGAAATAGTAGTTAAGAATGATTAACTGAATTTTATGATTGGGGTAAAATCCTTGAATTCATGTTTTTAACCTATGATACTTTACAATACGATTTGCTATATTTCGAAAAACTTGGCATCGATATTGATTAAATAAAATAAATTAGCCATGTTAAAATAGTAAAATATAGTACAATAATATATTAAAGCAAATTAATAAAAATATATTTTTATTAAAATTACCATGTTCAAGTCTTCTAATCGTGTTTTAACACCTTTTAACATTTCCTGTCTCTCGGAATGGGCACTAGGGCAATTATAAAATGAAGCATGAAATCCTGAACAAACTTTTTTAACACGTGATTTAAGTTGTTCTCCTTGAAAAAAAGCTACAAACACAGTTTTGAAAATTTCGTTACCCTGCAAAAATGAATGAGTTTTAATAGTATTGTTGACAAAAATCAAAGATGTTGGTAGGGTTGAATTTAAATAACATAAAATTGATCGATATTCATTTTAATAATTAATTTAAAAATAGAATATAATGTAACACTATATTATACAATTTTAAATATTTATAATCTCTATGAAAACACAATCTAGCAAAGGTTTAAAAGCTTAAACGTTGCTAAAAGTCTATGCTAAAGAGTTTTTAAACTATTCAGTAAATAATGTTCTTGTGCTTCATTATTTAAGTCAAATTAAAAATGATTATTGGTGTCATAACTGAAAAAATTTAATTAGAAACTAGTTATTAAAATTTACTTGAAATTTTTTTTACCAACTTATTCATTTATACTTTTAAATATAGGACTTAAGAAATTGAAAATTATAAAACATTAACATTATAATAAGTTTTTAAACAATTAGAGCTAATTTAACAAATTATATTCTTTTTAAAAAATGTTCGGCTGATTTAAATATTTTCAGTTTAAATTTTTGTATTTTTTTATTAACTATGAATCAAAATGATTTTATTAATATAAGAGTTTATAAAAACGGTCAAAAAGTATGAGGAGCCATAACAAAACTTAGACGAATTGTCCCATCTCGAATGTACACGGGGACAACAGGTGAGAGGGAATAAAGTAGTTAAAAACGGAGAAGGCCTAAGGAATAAAGTGTTTGATAACAGCCGGACAACATGTGCGGTAGCTATTTCACCAGTCATGTGTACAGGTCTACCCAACGCTTGTAGTGTCAATGGTGTAAAGACATCACCACTTAACTCTAGGCTGGACTCGTACTTAGAATGTTAGAACATTAACTGGTAGAAGTAGAGAATTAGTAGAAGTATTGAAAAGGAGAGAAATCGAGGAAATAGGTGTGGGTTATAAAATAATATACTCAGAAAAGTCTAGTACAAAGAATGGTGTAGGAATAATAATGGACGAGGAAATGAAAAGTAAAGTAGTAAAAGTAGCTAGGAAAAGTGACAGAATTATAGTCATAAAATTGATATTCGAGGAAAAGATGCTGAATGTAATAAGTGCCTATATGCACCACAAGTAGGATGTGATGAAATAGACAAAGAAATGTTTTAGAGAGAGATCGATGATGGTGATGCAAGAGGTACCTGACAATGAGGATGCGGTGATAGTTGGAGATATGAATGGACATTTAGGTAATGAGAGGAGAGGATATGGTTTAGAGTTATATACATATATATGAAAAAGTTAATAGATCTATAGTGAGTTAAATATTTTTGTCAAAAATATATAAATGACAAATTAAAAATAAAAAAGACTAATGGGAAGACTGCCTAAGATGAGAGGACCAAATAAAAAAAGATGTTGAAGCTTTAGTAGGAGTTATAGACTAGAGATTAGGAATTCATCAATTAGGGAAAGTTCTTAGTATAATCCTAAGGGTCGAATTATGTAAGGAGAAAAAGAATATAGATCATAACTTCGATTAAAAAAATTACCTTGAACTAACAGAACTCGGGCATGTTTTAGAAAAAACACATGCATTTTTTGAAGAGGTAAATATTAATTTTACTATTTATGTTTTATTTACAATCTATAAATGTTAAAAATTCTAATTCGATTTTTAATTAGAATATATTTTATAAGCTGTAAGAATAGTAATAGAAATGAATGTTGAATGAAAAAGAGGTAGAGAAAGACCAAAAAATGGATGGATGGATGTTACTGAATGTGATATGAGGACGGCTGATGTAAACGTAGATGATGTAGGAGATCGTGTCAAGTGGAAGTTTAGGATAAAGGTGGCCGACCACAAGTAGTTGAGATTAAGGCAAGGAAGAAGAAGAAGAGAATAAGAAAATATTTAAAGAAGGGGCTTTAAAGCATCATTTTACCCACTATCACCGTTGTGAAATTGTGCCATTTAATAAAGTTTTATTTTTGAAAAATCAAATGTCAGTCAATGAAAAATTACCGTAGCAGGGTCTTCTAGAGACTCTTCAAGTTCAGCTCTACGTAGAAATACATTGCCTCGACTAATACGCCATAACATACGCTCAAATCCTGGTACACGTTCTCGGGGCACGACTCCAGCAACAAATCTATAATTACATTATTAAATTACTAAGTTTTTCTAAGTATTTTTTAAATACTATTTTTAATGACTGGTAAAATTAAAAACAGACGATTTCTTTAAAAATTACCATTTTAAAATCAAAATTTTCATAACAAATTAAAAAGTAAGTGAATAGCAATATTAAACATTAGAATTTTTTTTTAAATGTTATTAATTTATTTTATTATTTTTTTCTTTACAGCGCTGTAAAAATTCTTTCCATTATATAATACTTTAATTTAATTTTAATATTTGGAATATAATGATGTCTTGTTTAAATATTTTATTTAAGTTACTATCGAAGTATAAATATTTAGTATATGTTGAAATCAATGTACACAAATCATAATTCATAATTATATCTAATACATAAATTTTATACGGTTCAAAAAAATCAATCATTTCTAGATATAAAAATACTACACAACAATGAATTCGATATTCCACACAACATGCTAATTAAAAACAACGGGGTAAAACATCACAAAACTTTAATTAACGGTCATAATGTATTTTTTTCATTTCATTTACGGATTGAAGTATAGTTCAATGTAAAGTTTTGTTTATACATTTAATAAACTAAGCTACATTTTTAACTTACTATCAACATCAATATTATCTTAAGTCAGTCTAGACTGGATTCCATACGTTACACGATACGGAAAGCAATCTTTTTAATACAGGGGCGGTTAAATGGTTTGGCTATACTAGCCATTAACACAGAAGTTGGCATTGATGCCAGCGAAGTAATTGATAATCTAAGTAAAAATAAGAGACGCCTAGATCTTATATTATAAATTTAGTTTTAAAGTTCAAAAATCGTTAATTTTACTATAATCTTTACAATATAAAAATAAAAGTAATAAAGATCTTGAAATATTAAAATAGATCTTAATAGTACTTTAAAAAAAAAATATTGGATATCACTAACCACCATTAAGTAATAACCTATAACGTGTCAATTATAATATGTACAAAAGTTTCAAATTTCAAATTACTTGTAAATTCCTAATATAGTAATTTGAAAAATAGTAAGTTTTTTTTACATCAGTAAACATTTCTACAATTTTCGTTTGTGAGGTTCATTAAATGTTGGACACCCCCGAGAAATCATTCAAGATGCGCCACTGTGATCAGCTATTTCCTTATTTGTATCCCGATTAAGATAAAGTATGTCGAATGCAAGAGGGATATAAATATTATTTTTCATAAAAAAAATGTATTGATCTATACACTTTTCAATAAGTTATAGCATTATAAAGATAAAAATGTAAAATATAAAATCGAGAATTTTCACACAAAAATAGCATTTGATAACTATTTTCACCGTGAAGACAAAATAAAGTCCGAAATTTTATTTTTCCATGATAAAGTATATTACATTAGATTTAATATAAGATATATATAAAAGTGTCAGCATTTCCGGAACACTTTCAAAAGTTAAGTTGAAAAAGTTGTCATTTTGAATCCCCTTCAAAGAGGATCATGCTTCTATAAAAAAAAAATTATATTGAACAATATAATATTACAAATTTAAAAATCGCTAATTTTCGACGTTTTTTCAATTTTAGCTTTGATGCGAAGCTGAGAAGGTATTCACTTTACTATGATGTGTTTTTTTTTTGTGTCTTTTTTGTTGACTTTATTACCATTGGTATAAGAACACTATCATTTCTATAAAGAGTTCAAAAAGTAAAAAAACAAACCAATTGTCACAAAAAATGGATATCGCTGCCATTGAATAAGAAGTAATAATTTTAATAGTTTTTCATTTTATTACTAGAAATATTTCAGAAAATTCAATTACTCTTAAATATATGTATCTTCTCTTAAATTCTTAAAAAATCTAATTTAAATTCAAAATGAAATTAGTATAATTATTTTTAAAGTAACAAGTTTAGGGTAGAATATCTAGGGGTCTCACCTCACTTTTGAAACTATTCTTAAGATTTTTGTGAGAGCTGCTATTTGAGGTAGCTCCTCAACATCGTGATTAAATTTAGCAATCGAATCAAATTTAATTCTATGAAAACATTTCTTTAGTAGGGGATAACAGTTCTAGTTTATAATTAGGGGAATACGGTAGCTTGGGTATAGATTTTGTTAAAATGCTGAAGAAAGATTGATAAAATAAGAAAGCATATTGTATGTTCAAAAATTTAGCCTTGCTCGATTTCTGACACTACGCCAAAATGATTCTGCCTAACATTTCAAGAACAAAGTTATGATTCGTTATGATTAATGGTAATACTATTCCATCTCTTTTTAATAAAAAAATAAAGATAATTATGATTCTAGGTATTATTAAAGATTGAATAATAATAAATCAAAATTCGTTTGTGGTTAAGAAATTATTGCCTTTTCAAAACAACTAGTATTTTTTTTCTGAAATTTTTTGTAACTATAAAAAAAATAATTCAATGCTGTTAAATAATTGAATCCTACAGAAATCAAACATGGTTAGCTATTAACAAAATTTTTTAACTTCAAATTATTTTTACAGATATTATAAAGTACTTAATCAACAACGAATTTAACAAAAAAAAATATATATAATTTATATAGTTTTGACCAATAAACAAATAATTATGGTTAAATAACAATATTAACTTTTTTTAAATATTTTTCTCTGTGTAATGAAATTTTATATTTTTGATTATTTTAAAGTCTTAATTAAATAAAGATTGAAATAATAATAATAATAATTGAAATAATAATCATCTTAAGTAAAACATTTTTTATCTTGCTAAAACAATAATTTCAACAATTATAAAATACTTTGCATCCTCGTTTTATGTTTTTATGTTTAAAATATTGATCAATAATAAAAAATATATAAAATTATCTAGGTAAAAAAATCAACTACTCACCCGAGACGGCCCCGAGTGACTTGAGACTGATTATTAAGAGCCTCATCGCTGATTAGAGCCTTAGTCATTGAATCCGTGCCTGATGCATTAGTGCCATCTTGCTGTTGAAAAGAAAAACTCTAAAGGAAAAGAAAAAATATCTACTTCTACTTCAAGCACAACAACTATAAAAGTATTTCCAGTTTTGATACAATAAAAATACATATTCTCAATATGAAAGTTGTATATATAATGTAATAGTTACAAAGATAAGACGATCAACATAAAAAATAAAAATAACTATACCTTGATTGTATAGAAAAAATAAGTGCAGAGAATTATTTAATTTCATAATTGTATTTGAATATAGATAAGGGTGATTAAATAAATTACAATACTCATTATTATTAAACAATTTCTAGCTTAATTTTTAATACGTTATATTCAAAATTGGCCCTAAACAATATGATCTAATAAAAAAAATTAAATTAGATACATAATATAAGATATAGTTCTTTTTACTATTTTCTAAGTTTTAAAAAGATATTATAAAATCAAAGCCTATAAAACAATGAAAACCATGCAACGCTTTTTTGAGGTATACAAAATATTACTTACGTCTAAGAAATCCATATCAAGCTCAATTAATGAACAAGAAAAAAAAATCGAGTTAGATTTATAGTAAAAATTATTTTAAAACTACACAAGATAATTATTAAAATAACTGCTTAACATGATTTATGATTTAAAAATTTAAGATTGAATTCTAATGTCTAATGTAAATTAAAATTAAAATATATACTAATTCTTCTTCTTCTTCCTTGCCTTAATCTCAACTACTTGTGGTCGGCCACCTTTATCCTAAACTTCCACTTGACACGATCTCCTACATCATCTACGTTTACATCAGCCGTCCTCATATCACATTCAGTAACATCCATCCATCCATTTTTTGGTCTTTCTCTACCTCTTTTTCATTCAACATTCATTTCTATTACTATTCTTACAGCTTATAAAATATATTCTAATTAAAAATCGAATTAGAATTTTTAACATTTATAGATTGTAAATAAAACATAAATAGTAAAATTAATATTTACCTCTTCAAAAAATGCATGTGTTTTTTCTAAAACATGCCCGAGTTCTGTTAGTTCAAGGTAATTTTTTTAATCGAAGTTATGATCTATATTCTTTTTCTCCTTACATAATTCGACCCTTAGGATTATACTAAGAACTTTCCCTAATTGATGAATTCCTAATCTCTAGTCTATAACTCCTACTAAAGCTTCAACATCTTTTTTTATTTGGTCCTCTCATCTTAGGCAGTCTTCCCATTAGTCTTTTTTATTTTTAATTTGTCATTTATATATTTTTGACAAAAATATTTAACTCACTATAGATCTATTAACTTTTTCATATATATGTATATAACTCTAAACCATATCCTCTCCTCTCATTACCTAAATGTCCATTCATATCTCCAACTATCACCGCATCCTCATTGTCAGGTACCTCTTGCATCACCATCATCGATCTCTCTCTAAAACATTTCTTTGTCTATTTCATCACATCCTACTTGTGGTGCATATAGGCACTTATTACATTCAGCATCTTTTCCTCGAATATCAATTTTATGACTATAATTCTGTCACTTTTCCTAGCTACTTTTACTACTTTACTTTTCATTTCCTCGTCCATTATTATTCCTACACCATTCTTTGTACTAGACTTTTCTGAGTATATTATTTTATAACCCACACCTATTTCCTCGATTTCTCTCCTTTTCAATACTTCTACTAATTCTCTACTTCTACCAGTTAATGTTCTAACATTCTAAGTACTCCCAACTACTTGGGGTCGGCCACTCTTATCCTAAACTTCCACTTAACACCATCACCTACATCATCTATGCTCACATCAGCCGTCCTCATATCGCATTCAATTACATCCTTCCATCTCTTTTTTGATCTTCCTCTACCTCTTCTTCCTTCAACATTCATTTCTATTACTATTCTTACAGCTTATAACATATATTCTAATTAAAAATCGGATTATAATTTTTAACATTTATAGATTGTAAATAAATCATAATAGTAAAATTAATATTTACCTCTTCAAAAAATGCATGTGTTTTTTCTAAAACATGCCTGAGTTCTGTTAGTTCAAGGTAATTGGACTTCAAGTTGACGGCATTATGACTAAGTTCTAATATTTCATTTTCTGTGCGTTCTAGCTGTGACTAAAAAAATAATAAGAGTAAAATAGAATTATATTTTGCTTAGAAAACTATATGATAAAAAAAAAAACGGTAGCACATTGGGATCGAGACACAGTGTAGACAAGGCATAGATGGGACAAGTATAGATGATATTTGACAGTGATTAAAATCACTATCATAAGAAACGCTTCGATGCAAATCTGTAGATAGTGTTTCATTTAGAGAAATTGGTGGATTATTCCAAAAGCAACATCAACTCTTATTTCTTTGATTATATCCTAATTAGTAGCTCTTTGATTTTAAAATATAATATATGAATAAATACTAATTATAATTATTAAATTTAGTAAGAAATTGATATTCAATAATTTAATATTGTAATTTAAACGGAGAAATTATAAAAATAATAAAGAAGTTGTATTTTGCTTTATTTTTACGTGTATAAAAATTTAAAGGGCTTGATACAATAAATTTCAATAAAAACTGTTTGTTACTATAAATAAATGCACTGAACTACAAGGAACTTTCATCAGTAACAAAAATATACCATTCTAAATCAACTTTTCGCGATGTTTTCAAATCTGCAATTAGACTTTTTCTATCACTTCTAAGTTTTAATATTATTAAAAATTAGTATTTACATATAAAAAATTCGCATCGAAGCTAAAAAATTGGCTATGTAAACTAACTCAAATTAAAAAATTACTTTTTCGACTTAAAAAAAGTAAAAAAAAATTAATAAGTTTAATTTCTTATGTCTTATGAACTTTATTCTATATCAATAAAATTATATAATATTCTTGAAAGTCAATATATTCTCCTAATAAGATATTTTTAAATAAAATAAAATACAAAACCTAGAATTTTAATAGAAAAATAGCATATTTTTGAATACGGTAGCCATTTGTGCATAAAAGATAGGTCGTCGGGACAAATTTTTATTTTTTCATTTTATAGTACATAAAATAAGCTTTAATTTGATATATGTTTAAAGGACGCAGTCTTTCCGGAACATTTTCAAAAATTAAGTTGAAAAAATTAATTTTTGTAAAAAAGTTGCTATTTTAAATCCTCCCCAATTAGCAGGTTAAGTGTTAGATTTTCAAAAAAATGATATCAAATGAAAGGGAAATATCTATGGTTTTAGTATAAAAAAAAATTATGTTGATTTGTTAATATTTGAAAAAGTTATGGAAGTTTTAAGTACAAAAAACATCANTGTTGATTTTTCAAAAAGTTATGGAAGTTTTAAGAAAAAAAAGTGAAAAAATTTCGAAAATTAGCGATTTTTAAATTTGTAATTTTTTTGGATATTTCCCCCATTTGCGGGGAACGAGGGAATTTTTTTCAATTTTTAAGGGTAATGTTTTCAACTAGATACGATTTGTGATCTTTTGACGTATTTTTGAAAGAGCTGAGAAAAAGTGGCAACAGTCATAAAAAAAAAAATAATAATAATAAAAAAAAAAAAAACATATCATAGTAAAATTAATACCTTCTCCGCTTCGCATCGAAGCTAAAATTATGAAAGAAATTTAACAATTTAGAAATTACTATTATTTTGAAAATATATCGTACTATAAATAATCTTAATAAAATGATTAGTGTTCAAATTTATTTAGTTTTTGGAGTTTAAAAATGTGGAAAATATATTTTAATGTTTTTATTTTAAAATTATTGCTATTAATATGAAATGTGAAAAATCCTAGATATTTAAAAAAAATATTCTAATATTATGAAATTTTATAAAAATTTATGGTAATTGAATCGATCCAGAAAAAAACTAAGAGATAGCCTCTCTTTACTCCACCCAAACGAACGCCTACAACACCCATTTATAAAATTGTCTCCAAACAATAAATTGAAACAATAACTTCCATTGATAAAGCAAAATATCAACAATTCAATATATCATAACGAAATTTTGCTCATTTTAGATATTTATGAATTGTTAAAATTTATTTCGATAAAATGATTCTTGAATAAATTTACCTCCAAGTTAATAATTTCTCTTGGATTAGGAGCGAACGGGAAGACGCTACTTTCAGGTACAGGTACGTGCACGTGATCTTTGTGTACTTCTGTTTGAATGTATCGCAACTTACGTTCTAGTTCATCACAACGACGAACTTCACTAACGAATTTTCGTTGAAAAACATTCATTTCACTATTTAACTGTAAATAATAAAACACAGAAAAGTATAAATATTACATTTTTAACTGAGAATTAAAAAAAAAAATTGTGTAAGAAATTATTTTATAATTATAATTTATTTGACAATTAAATTGTAGGTTACGATAAACAATTTATCTAGTAACTAGATATACTATTATAACTGTTATAATAATAGTAAAACCTACTCTTTACCTCCGGTCATTACTTAAATTGTTATCAACAACTTTAATAGTGGTCAAAAAGTTGTTATTGGCCATTCATTATCTTAATTAAATCATTACTTAATAATAAATAAACTAATTAATTATACGTAAAAATTAAATCTAACACCTTTATAAAGTGTAAGGATAAACATAAAATATTTTTTGATTGATTTAAAGCATCATTTAATCATGTACATCCATTAATTACTACATGGTAATCATTTTTAACTAGGTAGCAATAACACTACCGACTTATATGTTAAAATATTCACTAATATGACATAAATGTACTATTAAACATTTTTGATTTAGATAGTTTTTACCAAACAGTTGAATAAATATATTACGATTTTATAAAACTTAAGGACAGCCATTTGCATTCCTTTATGGTTTGATTTTTAGAATTTCGTCACATGATGGAATCTTATCATCACTGTTTAATGCAAGCTCATTGAAATCTGTAGATTTTAAATTATAGGCCAATTGCAATTTAAAATCATATGGCTTATATGATAATTATATAATAAGTAACATAAAACTATAAGTTAATTCAACTTTTGTAGATGGTTTTAGGTTAAAGATAACCTACTTCAAATTCAATAGCATTTTCTAACTACAAATTGTGAATGGTTTTTAAAATACCCCAAGTTGATATAATTTAAACCGTTTTTTAAAAGTATGTGAGTGATTTATTGCCAACTTAATTAAGATATTATATTATGCTATATTTTGCAAACCTAAAAAAAAGGTTTCAAATAGATTGAAATCGGTAATATTTGATAATAAAATTTCTCATATTCACAGAGAACTTAAGTTTTTTTTATAAAATAATTCCTGAGCAGTTTGAACTCTACTCTACAAAAGGGAATTCATGCTCTTGTCTTAAGGCGTAACTTTACTGGATATGACTTCAACACAGAAAAATTATTCATTATATATTTACCATAGAAAGATATTAAATAATTTTACATGCCTTATTAATAAATCAAGTATTGCTACTGCTTTTTAAAGTAGTAAATTAAACTTTCATAGCACATCAAAATAATGTGCAGTAAAGCTTTTACAAAGCTTGGTTTTATAAAATTTACTTAATAACAATTTAAATCGTCAGTTTTATATAATAAAGATTGATCACTTGTGGCTAGTATTATTTAAAATTGAAACTATATTAAAAATATAATTAATTTAAAATTAAAAAAATTTTACTCAAAAGTCACAAAAAAATTATGGATACGTATTTCGGACACAATGTTACCATTATTAACGCTAAACACATACTGACACCCTGACCGGAAAAAACTCCCTTATAGACCCCTACTGATCTTATCACCTTGTGACGTTTCGACTTAGTAATATTATCACATTTTGCAGTAAACACAAGTTTAATAATACATTTTTCAGTGGGCCAAAATCCCAATTCATTAAATTATTCTTATTTTTAAACATTTCTATTGCCTCCCTTATATTGAGTTAATTGTAATCATTGACTTTTTAAATTAGTTTTATACGTAATATTTATTATAAATTTTGCATTGTACATACGTAGGAGAAACAAAATGAATTATAGGGATCAGGTTTAAAGAACACTTAAGAAACATTAAAAATCAAGATATTGATAAATCTTCTGTGGGTGAACATTTATTGACACATAATCACTCCATTCAAATTTTAACTAATTAAAAAAGTAAATCATTACAAATAACCTCAATAAAATTTAATAACACGTCATTTCTTTTAACTCGTATTAACTTAAGATTCTTATCAAAAGCAAAACGGTTTCTATTTATCTTTCTATTAAAAAGAGGATTAGTTTTAAAATCTTTTTTTGGGCTGGTTTACTTAAAACTTAGTATTTTTTAAATATATCTAATAATTTATCCATTATTTTTTTGATAAAATTGTTTTATTATTATAAAAAGTTTGGTATTTTAAAACTCCTATGAATATTAATGTTTTAAGTAAAATTGGAATAGTTTCAAAAGTTTTAAGGTGAATGTGAGTACATGTGTCATAATAATATAGGTCACTAGGTAAAAGTTAAAACATGATGAAATTTTATGATGGTTTGTGACAATTCTAAAAATGTTTAAAAATATTAATTGCAGAAAAAAGCACTTCAAAGACAAGAAAAAATCGAAAAATCAACAATTATAGATGTTTTTGTTAATGTAAATGTAAACACCATTAGTATTTTAAACAGCTTATCATAAAACCGTAACGAGGTACACCGTTTGTGGTGGCATTATAGTAAGCACTTGAACAAAAATAAAATTAAGATGTTTATTGAGGTTAAACTAATGTAAGTACGTCAATTTTTGAAGTAATATTTGAAATAAACATAACTTAGTATTTAATGACTCGATGATTTTCATTACAAAAAAACAATGAATATCGAAAGGATTTTAAAAAATAATAATATATATTTATACTTTAAGGTTTATAATT